AGAAATTCTGTCTCAACACCCCCCAAAAATGGACCTACATTATCTTTACATTTCTATGTCAGGATGTTTGAGCTTTGAGCTACATTGGAAGCTAGCCAAAATCCTAACAGAGTAGAAGTGATATTGATATAAATAGGCCATGTCTCTTCTTGCAATTCAAGACATATCTGCAGCTGTGGTGAATACTCCTTGAATATTTTTCCTATTATATTAACAGGTTTGGGGTCTTGCCTGGTAATTTCCAGAATTTACGGTAACACTGTGGTGGACCCAAATCCTTCATCCCCTCTTATCTGTTTTAATATTGTATTGGGGTGCTGTATATAAGGAAGTAATATAATCTGAGCCACCCATTTGCTATGTAGTTGCATTATATTATTATCCTAATCATGAGTTTACTTCTCCCTGGACTTCTAAATCACCCAAGGAACTACTTCAAAAATTTTCTTCTACTTTGACCTTCACCCTATTCTAGTACCAGAGGAACCAGATGATAGAGGCCCCTTAAGTCCTGTATTTACTAATTGTACTCCCTCATAAAGACAAAGTAAATACTTTCTGTCTACTGAAATATCTAATCCTGCACTTCCTGGGGTTGCTATGAGTAACATTAAGATGTTAGATTTGAGGTAAGAGGATTCAATTCACCTATATTTCCTCTGTCTCCCTACTTTGCAAAAGTTTTAAATTTTTGGGTACAAAGAATGGCTGTCATCCATTTTTTTGTCTCCTTATATTTCAGAGAGATTTCATCGTCATGCAGTTTCAATTTACATTCATCTCTCCAATGGTTTCCCTTCTTACATAGAGGACATATTTCTAGAGTATAATTTTTCTTATCCTTATAGTCAAAATTTTTTCTTCTCTTTTACAGTCATGACTCAAATGTCCTTGTTGTTAGCAAGAAAAACATGAAGTTTTATTTTTTTTCCTGCCATTAAGTTCTGATAATGGGAAGAAAATGTTGCCATTGCATAGATGCATCATAGGCCATGTCCTGGACCTCTGCTGGTGAGGTATCTATACATGCTTTGATGTAATCTTACACAGTTCTTGTTTTTATGCTTGGTCTAATTTAGTTCCTGACAGAGAGTATTGCCATTTTCCAATGCAAGTTGTTTTAATAAAATGTCCAAGACTTCAGAGGAAACAGTATCCTGCCTGTTGAATCTTCCAATCTAGGAACAAAATCTTCATGATTCCTCTTCTTTTTTTCTAATTCCTGCTAATTCACTTACCATCATCAGGAGAGAGTCTTCTCCAAGCAGCTATTGCTATTTGGGACAGTTGTTCCAGTATTTCCCTTTTTAATTTAACCAGTTCCTGGGGAGATGCACAGTCTCCTTCCGGAAGAGCAATGACAAAGTTGTTTTTCATGAGGATTAAATTCTGTATCACTTGCCTTGCTCTTCCTTCATATTCAATTCTCCATATTATAAAATGTCCTGGTGCCAATCATAAAGACTAACAACATGTTATCCAACATTTCCAAAATCTCTAAAATGTATGGAGCACTTGGCTCAATGCTCTTAGGAGAGCACTGCAGTTCTTTAACAGTCTTTAAAGGAAGATGATCCCATTGGGGTGTCTCTCCTTCAACAATGGTTGCTGGGAAACAAGTATCTAAGTTACCTTTTTGCCTGGCTTCTTTTATACACCTTAAATGCCTTATTGGCATCTTCATTTCGAGCTTGGCAGATTTTGCTTTAAAACCTGGAGGAGAAGTCCTGAAGCAAAAAATATCATCTATCTATTTATGTCACATATGTACTTTTATCACATAAAAAAACAAGTTCTTGTGTTGCTTATCATTCCTTCATTCATCACCTGGCTGTGCATTGAGGAGAGTAGCAATAGGTGAAGAAGCATTATTTGACTTAGTTTCTGACATGACAGGAAATACCTCATCCTCTGTGGGTACTTCTGCAAAGAATTTCATTTCTGATTTTTCTGAAAGGAGGTTTCTAATTTGTACCCATAATGAAAATGCCTGAGCTGGGTCCTGATTAGGGTAATAGCATTCATAAAATTTCCTAATCTCTTGACATGCTTTTTTCCACCCTTCTAAAGACAGGCTTCCTTCCTCTGGGAACCACAGAAGGACATTCAATACAAAATTCAAAAATGCTGTTGAACTCTTCTTTGAGATTTTATCAACTCTACTTTCACATATATGGCTCAACACTTCCAGAAATGTTTCTGTCCTTGGACTACATATTACCCCTGATTCATACTTTACCACAATTTTATCTCAATATCTTCTCTCTATTAAAGATTCTGGAGGACTCTGGAGAAGTCCTATCACCCAGGGCAAATGCAATTTTTAGGAAAACAGAGAAAAGAGAAGAGAAAGCATACCAACTTTGAACCGCACATTGAGGGCACCAGCTGATATGGACTATCTCCAGCTGGTTATGATAGTCCAATGGGAAGTGGATCCTCCAACGAGGTGGATAAGGATTTGTTGGTGACAAACACAGAGGCAGAATGAACCTGAGTTTATTTTGTAGTTGTCAATCAAGATATTTTAAACAGATTCAGTATAGGAGGATGTTTCTTGAAGCAAAAGAAAACAGATGATATATTTGTTACTTGACACAGTAATGCAAAAATAAAATTCATGATCATCCACTGTTAATCAAAACAGAAAATTGTCCTTTGTTAAGGATAACCACATATTTCTATTTTATATTTTTATTTAAACTAGAAACAAGGTGCCTTCACATGTCATTCCCAGCTCCCTCTCCCTACCATTCTCCCCCACTCCCCCCCAAGTCCCCAAACTACCAACTCCCCACCCAATACCCACTCTGTTGTCTACAGAGGGTGCGGACATCAATGGGGATATCCAGAGTCTGTCATTTCATCCGGGGCAGGGACTAGGCCTTCCCCCATATGTCCAGGCTGAGAGAGCATACCTCAATGTAGAATGGGAAGCCAAAGTCCATTTGAATGACAGGGATACATAGTTTTCTACTACCCAAAGTCCCATAGATTGCCTAGGCCTCCTCACTGACACCCACATTCAGAGTGTCTGAATCAGTCCCCTGATGAACTCTCAGCCATCATTTTGGTGTCCAAGTGCTTCCACTTGTTCAGGCCAGCAGCCTTTATGGGTTTCACCAGCCCAGTCTTGACTTCTTTGCTCATCACAATTCACTCTCTGCAACTGGGTTTCAGGAGTTCAGTTCAATGTTTAGCTGTGGGTGTTTGCCTCTGCTTCCATCAGTCACTGGTTGAAGGTTCTAAGATGGCACATAAGAGAGTCATGAAACTCATTTTTAGGGAAAAGCATCTAAGGTAGCCTCTCTACTATTGCTTAGTTTGCCACTTGGTGTCATCCTTGCAGATCTCTGGAAATCTCACCAGTGCTACATCTCTCCTCAAACCTATAATGACATCTCTCATCCTGCTGTGTAACCTAATTCTTGTGAATTTATTTATAATACCCAGGTATGGTTTCTCATGTATGTCTTTATTTAAAATGCTAGCACTGGCTATTTAGGAACATTTAATATGAAAAAGGAATACAAGAACAAGCAGAAATTTCCACGTGAACCATGGACTAATATTTTTCTCCAGTCGAGAATTTCACAACTGGTTCCATGAGACCTCCCTCTTTTGAAGTTATCACCTCATTGTTGAAGCTTGTAACACAGAGTCTAATGGATTTCATGTGACAGCAACTCCCAACTGAAAAACCATTAATACATGAACTTGAGCAAGCTCAGACACTGTCTGTATTTTGTGCTCAGGGAATGGATGGTTTTAAGTTCAGGAATTTTTTTGGGTTAATGCTCAGTTGTTCCAAGATAGATTGTGTTCTTTTGACTCTGATTTAGGGACCAGTCTGTTTCTTTCACTGTCTATTTTTAAACCTTTGTCACTTGTTTCACAAAAGAAATATTTCCTTCACTAGCTCTGGTTTCAGTGACAATCTATGTTTCTTTGTGTAGGATTTCACTGTCAGGGTGAGTTTTTATGGCTCTTGCTTAAGGGCCAAAGTGTTTCTATTTCACAGCTTCTGGTTTCAGGGACTGAGTGTGTACCTTGGTTCGTTCATTTGTCCTAAACTCAGGGCTTCATAAATTTCTTTTTTTCCCATGAGTTTACTGGTGCAAACAATATACAAACAGCCATCATGTTGCTTCTACCAACCATGGTCATGGACACATTTCTCTACAGAATAAACATGGTTGTGTGCTGGCTAAAGGTTATATTTTATAATTAATTGACTAATAGTTTTTTTCATATTCAAGATTGTTGAAATTTGCAAAGGCATCAACAGATTCATTGCACAAAGTTTTACATCTCTAAAGAAGAAAACTTTACAAGGTTTCATTGCAGTGTCATTTCTTCCCATGATTTTCATACAAAAGGCTTTACACATTGACTGTATTCATACGTTACCTGTCCAGTATGTGTTATTTTATGTATTTTGAGACGACAATGATTTGCAAAGGCTTTAACACACTTACTACATTCATAGTGTGTGGTGATATTTTGTTTTTCTTTAAGGAAGAAAGTTTGGCTCAAGATGAGAGCTAGCCATTCAAGTTACACATACAAGACAGGCACTGGTGGCACTTTAAATCCCAGCACTTGGGAGACAGAGGTAAATGAGTTTTGTGAGTTCAAGGAAACCCTGTGATATACAAAAACTAATAAATCTAAAAGAGAATCAGCAAGTGGTGGTACCCAAACATAATCCAAGCATTGGGAAGTGGAGATTCTAAGGAATGTGGCAGAGTGAAGAGAAGAATGTATGGAGAGAAGAGACAGAAATTCAGGAATCAGTCTGAGGATTCATAGAGATGGCATTCAGTGTGAGGATCTTAGGAGATGGCATAACCCATTTGTTCTGAGGATTTTGTAGAGGAAAGATCTCGCAATTGATTTCACTGATTTTTGGATCATTCAGAATTCAGTCTGATATCTGACTCTGGAATTTTATTATTAAGAAAAATCAGAAGTCTTACATCAATAGGAATTTTCTCCAATATGAGTGGTTTTATGCATTTTAAGATTATTGTAACATGTGAAGGCTTTACCACAATTATTTCATTAATAGGGTTTCACTCCAGTATGTGCTCTTTTATGCACTTGAAGATTACCATGCTGAGCAAAGGCTTTACTATACTGATGACATTCATAGGGTTTCTCTCCAGTATGTGTTCTTTTATGCACTTGAATAGCACTATCATGAGCAAAGGCTTTACCACACTGAGGACATTCATAGGGTTTCTCTCCAGTATGTGTTCTTTTATGCACTTGAATAGCACTGTCATGAGCAAAGGCTTTACCACACTGATTGCATTCATAGGGTTTCTCTCCAGTATGTGTTCTTTTATGCCTTTGAAGATGACTTTGGCAAGCAAATGCTTTACCACACTCAATGCATTCATAGGGTTTCTCTCCAGTATGTGTTCTTTTATGCACTTTAAGAGCACTGTCGTGAGCAAAAGCTTTACCACACTGATTGCATTCATAGGGTTTCTCTCCAGTATGTGTTCTTTTATGCCTTTGAAGATCACTTTGCCAAGCAAAGGCTTTACCACACTCATTGCATTCATAGGGTTTCTCTCCAGTATGTGTTCTTTTATGACTTTGAAGATGTTTTTGCCAAGCAAAGGCTTTACCACACTGAGGACATTCATAGGGTTTCTCTCCAGTATGTGTTCTTTTATGCCTTTGAAGATCACTTTGCCGAGCAAAGGCTTTACCACACTGAGGACATTCATAGGGTTTCTCTTCAGTATGTATTCTTTTATGCCTTTGAAGATCACTTTGCCGAGCAAAGGCTTTACCACACTCATTGCATTCATAGGGTTTCTCTCCAGTACGTGTTCTTTTATGCCTTAGAAGATTCCAGTGATATTTTAAGACTTTACTACATTGATTACATTCATACGGTTTCTTTCCACTATGTGTTCTTTTATGTATTTGGTGGGTCCTGGAATGAATAAAGGCATTTTCACACTCATTACATTCATGCCTTTTCTCTTTAGTATGTGTGTTTTTATGCATTTGAAGATGAATATGGTATAGGAAGGTTTTACCATATTGATAACATTCGTGGAGTGCTCCAGTCTGTGTTGTATCTTGACTTGGAAGCTGATTGTCATATACAGAGCACTTATAACATTGCATATATGCAGAAGGTATCTCTCTGTTGGGACGTCTTTCATGCCTGCAAGAATAATTGACACATGTAAAAGTTTTACTACATTCATAACTTTTGAAGAGGAGTGGACTAGGGGGAGACTGGCGCTGGTAAGAGGCAACGGGGGCCAGAGGAGGGGTGGGAGAGAGAACTGTCGTTTGAATGTAAAATGAAGTCAAGCTTTAAAAAATTTTTTAAAAAATGTTGAATGTATGAAACTATGAATTAATTTTGCAATTCGGTCTAATTTAGAAGCCTAACCAGTTGTTAAACTTATTTCACTTTGTTTATATTCATGGTGTTCCCCTTCACTCAGGATTGTTTTACATATTTGTTGATGCCTGTCATGCTAAGTACTTTTATTGCGTTGATCAAATTTGTGGCTTCCTTTTCTCAATGAGACTTTTCTCATAATGGAAAAGAACTAAAAGTATTCATACATCTACACACATTATGCATTGATAATTTTTTTCTATTGTGACTCAAACTACTTCTACAAAATGAACAATGACAAGTGGAAATATTTACACATTGCATGTACACATGGGTTTTTCTGTAGTATAAAAATGTTGATGTATTCCCAATGAGGCAGGAAAACCAAGCACTTGTAAACTACCATCATGTTCAGTAATTGTACTCAACATGCAGACTACTACATATCTTCTAACTGTTCTGAGATGGAGAGTTCATTACCCATTCCATGTCCCTATGCTCAAATGATTTGTATTCTGTGTGACATAAGACAAATGAACTAAAGGAAACTTAGGAAATAAAATCATTCCACACTGCAATCACCCATGTTGCATTTTGTTCTCATAGACATAAGGTACAGGGATTAAGGCTTTACATAACCATCCCCATTTAAAATAAAGATCCTGTCTAATCTCACTGTACTTAGCAAAATCAGAACATCTATATGAGTAATACTACCTCAGCATGTAATTTTTGCTGATGACACTGTGTTGGAAATAGACTTATTAACTTTTTTGTTTGTTTGTTTATTTATTTATTTTAATTTTAATTTTAAATAGCTTGTTTTACATGTCAATCCCAGTTCCCTCTCTCTCCCCCTCCACCCTCACCTCCCTCATCATCCCCCTCATCCTCCCACCATTATTGAAAATTTCCTTCCACATAGGTGATATCTCGGAGTCTATCATTTCATTCAGGGTAGGGTCCAGGCACTTCCCTAAGAGTCCAGGCAGAGACAGTATCCCTCTTTGTGTTATGGACACACGATGTCTGTTATCATTCTAGGGATAAACACTGATCCACTGCTCAGGACCCCATAGGTAGCCTAGGCCTCCTCATTGACTCTCACATTCAGGGGGTCTGGATCAGTCCCATGCTGGCGTAGAAGCTGTCGGTCTGTCATCCAAGAGTTCTCCCCTGTTCGGATCAGATGTCTTTGCTGGTTTTGCCAGCCCATTCTTTGCCAATTTACTCTACGCTCCTCTCTCTCTGTCACTGGGTTCCTTGGGTTCTGTTCAGTATTTAACTGTGGGTGTTTGCCTCTGCTTATATCAGTCACTAGATGAAGGCTCCAGGATGCTTATAGACATCAAGGTCACTATCATGAATGGTCTCTACACTATTGCTTAGCTTGCCTATTGGTGTCATCCATTTAGATCACTAGAGGTCACAATGGTGCCTGATCTGTCTTCTAACTTATGATTCCCTCTTCCCCCTATCCTACTCCCCCCAGTCGACCTTCCTGTTCCTCCACATCCTACATTCTCTTCCACTTCTCCCCCTCTCTATTTCCCAGGTCCTCCTCCTCCCAACCCTCACTGTGTTCCCCATCTATTCATGGGATCTTGCCTCATTTCTCTTCTCTTGTGTACCATGCATATCTTTTAGGTTCTTTCCTATTTCCCAGACTCTCTGTCAGTGGAAGTGCAGACTGACACTCTCCTGATCCCTGTCTGAAATCCATATATGAGTGAGTACATACCATATGTGTCTTTCTTTAACTGGGTTACCTCACTCAGGTTGGTCTCTCCCATTGCTATCCATTTACCTGTGAATTTCAAGATTCTATTGTTTTTTTCTGCTAGTAATACTCCATAGTATAAACGTACCACATTTTCTCTATCCACTGTTCAGTTGAGGGGCATCTAGTTTACTTCCAGGTTCTGGCTATTACATATAATGCTGCTATGAACATAATGGAGCAGATGCCCTTGTTGTATGAATTTGCCTCCTTTGGATATATGCCTAAGAGTAGAATTGCTGGGTCTTGTGGTAGATTGATTCCCATTTTCCTGAGGAATCTCCATACTGACTTCCAAAGTGGCTGTACGAGTTGGCACTCCCACCAGCAGTGGAGGACTGTTCCCCTCTCTCCACATCCTTTCCAGCATGAATTGTCTTTGGTATTTTTGATATTAGACATTCTGACAAGTGTAAGATGGTATCTCAGAGTTGTTTTTAATTTGCATTTCCCTGATGGCTAAGGATATGGAGCACTTTCTTAAATGTCTCTTGGCAATTTTAGCTCCTCTATTGAGAATTCTCTGTTTAGTTCTATGAACACTTGATTTTTGACAAAGTAGCTAAAACTATACAATAGAAAAAAGAAAGCATCTTCAACAAATGGTGCTGGCATAACTGGGTACTGGTATGCAGAAGACTGCATAGTGATCCATGTTGATCACCTTGTACAAAACATAAGTCCAAATGGATCAAAGATCTCAACATAAATCCAGCCACACTAAAACTTCTAGAAGAGAAAGTGGGAGATACTCTTCAACGAGTTGGTACAGGAGACCACTTCCTGAACATAGCACCAGTGGCACAGACAATGAAATAGACAATCAACAAATGTGACCTCATGAAACTAAAAAGCTTCTGTAAGGCAAAAGACACAGTCAACAAGACAGAAAGGCAGTCCACAGAATGGGAAAAGATATTCACTGACCCCACATCTGACAGAGGGCTAATCTCCAAAATTTACAAAGAACTCAAGAAGCAAGTCTCCAAAACACCAATGGCTCCAAATAAAAGGTGGGGTACAGGACTTTTCAATATGTATACCTTCTGTAATATGAGTGGTATGGGGCTACATGGATTAGCAATACTCATCAGCTTACCTCTGATTGAGCTGTGACTCAAATGGTGTTAAGGCATTTATACTTTGTCTTCCTTCCTTAAAAACAACTTGTAAACATAATTCACTTACCAGCTGCTGAGGTATATGATCTCATGACAATTTATTGATAATCAATGCATGTTATGATGTGATTATTTACACTGCTGCTTTTCTTTGTAACTTCCGTATACATTAAAGTTATCTTCAAAGTAAAATTTATATCAGCTTACACATTAAAATTACCTTCCATGCCTTTGAGGACTTTGACAATGTTCTTCGATATCATTATCTTCCCATTTGTAGCCTAAAATATAGCACCAGGAAAAGTATGGTTTATTATTGAAAATTACTTAAAATTTAACTGTCTTCAGGGATACTTAGAACCATGACTGATTTATTTCCTAAGTCTTCTTCATTCTCACCCAAAATTACAATGAGGATCAATAACTAAGAAACAATTGTCCCATTAATATAGAGAGTAAAAGAAAATCCAAAGAATTACCTATCACATTGAGGTTCATATACGTCTCCAGCATCACATCTTTGTAGAGATTCCTCTGTGAAGGATCCAGCAAAGCCCATTCTTCCTGAGTGAAGGTGATATGCAAATCTTGATAAGTTACTGCATCCTAAAAATATGCCATATATATATGCATTATAAAAAGCATGACAAATACAGCACTGTAAATGTATATTTCTTTGACAGTATACTGATAAAATGATGCACTTTCCCATACA